GGCAAAACTAGATCGTGAGAGGCAGAAAGCTGAAGCAGCTGCCCACCGGATAGCCCGCCAAGCCGCCCACAAACGACTTCAGAAAGCTATCAAAATCTCACAAAGGGGAAAGAAGCCTACCTTCAAGCGCTCTACTGAGCTAGCATCAAAGAATATTATCGTTGGCAGTAGTAGTGGTGGTGCGCAGCGAGCTAATCGATCAGCTGCACCACCATCACCACGCTCGCGTTCAGGCCGCCCCATCAAGCTGCCAATCAAATATCAGTAGATAGATCAAATAAACAATACTACGAGATTACTATACTAGAGTTTCTCGCGATAATAGCTTTTATGTAGAGCTCTACAGCTTCAAGTTTGTGATAGTACTGTTGGGGAGAAATCCGGCGTTGGCCCGTCCGCGGCGTTGGCCCGTCCGGCACCTCTATGTCGTTGCTCAGGGTCCAGCAAGCTTCCACCCCCGCCCGATTACATCCCATCCAGTCGTTTCCCTCACCATGCTAGGACGTGGGGAACATACGTCATCGGGCATCGCAAACAGGCATCGCAAACCCAACGACATGCCACGACCCCCGCTGCTCATCATGTCGAAGACTCCACCTGCAACTTGCCAAAAATGTCAGCTGGATACTACCCAAAGCGCAAAAAGGTTGGCCTTGAAGATCTCTTCAGAGGGCTAGTCACAGCAAGCCACATCCTCGACCACCATGGCCTTGTTGACGCATATGGGCACATTTCTGTGCGCTCGCCGGATAACCCAGCAACATTCTGGATGCCATGCAACATGCCACCAGCGCTGATTAGCACACCAGAAGATCTGGTCGAGTACCACGTTGACAGCGCTGAAGCGGTCGAGAAAGATGCAAAGCCCGGGTATCTGGAGCGATACATTCATAGTGAGATTTACAAGCGATTCCCGGCCATCAATAGTGTAGTCCATAGCCACGCTCGCGATGTGCTTCCTTATTGCACCAGCGGGGTACCATTGAAGAATACGATTCACATGGCCGGTTTCTTGGGTGAATTTGCTCCTTCCTTGAGAGAGACTCATAGACTGTCAGAATGCTGATTCTAGTAACAAACAGGATCAAAGGTCCCTGTGTGGGATGCCTCGAGTAGCTATCCGTCGGGTTCAAAACATAATCTGCTTGTGAGCAACACCACGCTGGGTGCTTCTCTTGCTGCGACATTCAAGCCTGCAACTTCAACTGGCTTCATATATTCCAAAGTCCGTTCGGCGCTACCATCACAGCTAGGCGGTGCATCCTCAGAGCCTCAACTGGAACCGGATCATGCGGTCGTTCTTATGCAAGGCCATGGATTCGTGACTGTCGCGCATGGCATCGAGGAGGCTGTTTACCAGGCCATATACACCAGGGAGGCTGCGAAGGCGCAAACGACGGCCATGATGATACTAAATGCGCACACTGGATATGCGCTCGAGGGCAAGGTTGACGTTGACGCTGGTGGAAAAATCAAATCTGGCCATGCAAAGGCCGAAGGCGGCAACTTGAAATACTTGAGTGACAGGGAGTGTCATGACGCCTGGGAAGCCATGTCCGGTACGCTTGCCAGACCATGGGCGCTGTGGTCTCGGCAGGTGTCGCTCAGTCCGTTATACAAGAACGATTGTCATGTAGGCGAGGATTAAGCGGCAACAGCGCTCTTTTGCATGCGATGCGCTATTAATCTTCTACCATGTTTCTTACCTTGCTAAGAATAAAGTATTTGTTGTTTCACGAGGACAGTGACATGACATCGTCTATTCCGAATTCCCTCGCAATCTTACCCTGAAACGGACTAACTGACGGCAGACAGAAAGCCATCGCGGAGAAATGTCGTTATTCATACAATGCTAAAATAAAAGGCCGCGGCTAAAGAACAGCGGGCAACCCCAAAGCAATCAAAATCTTGACAGCCCTAACTGCTTGTTTCCTTGCCTCCCTTGTTCGCAGGCAGATGTTCCACTACTCATATCAAGATAATACGCTAACCAGGCCGTTCATTTATACCAAACCGGTGGCTCCGAAGCTCTTGGTCTGTGTCCGTTTCCGGCTGAAAAGAAAAGCTTAACCGCAGCAAGGCGAAAGCTTCGCCATTGCTTATTGCGCATCATGAACGATATAATATATTTTATTGTCTGGGGGAGTGAGCAGCACAGAGTTCCGGCTATTTGGCAAAGGCAAAGGAAAAAAAAACACACATTGGTACTCCATCAATTCCATGTCTTGCAATAGCCTCTCCCTCCCCCTCCCATCTTCTAGCACCGGGTGCGCCCCTAAACTGAAACGTGGGGGGGGGGGCGCCAGTCAACCTGTTTAGTAGCGTGTGTTGACGGGCAAAAAAAATGGTGAGATTTCGGAACGTGCATGTAAGAGAGAGATTCGAAGTCGTTCATCTCGGTTGTTTGGCACGTTCCACCCCTGGTCGTAAGCACCGAAAGTAGGGGTCTCTTCCCCAAGTCCTGGTATATATTTGCTAAAATAGGGAAATTGAGGGGAAGATTGACGACGTAAGGCTAGGCCTGGGTGGGGGATTTGTTTCGCGCACGTGCGGGGCCTACGGGAAACAATGGTATTTGTATATGGGGGTGGGAAAGGTCGCTCTGCAGATGTTGTTCGGTACATGCATGCAGCCTTGATCCTATTCGATTGGGAGGGATCTGTAAGTACAGATTGAGTGTCTTTTTGTATCCCTAATTTTATATATATATTCAAGCATTGTCCATATTCAACTCTACACTCTTTATTCTTTCCTTTCCTGGTCGCTGGAGCTTCCAGGCCCATTTTCTCACACACACATACACACCAACAATGTACCTCCGCACCGCCTTCCTCGTCGCCGCCACCGCCACAACATTCGCCTCCACGACCCTCGCCTCCTTCGGCGTCGTCACCACCAAAGCCAAAAATAGTATCACCGTCGACACCGGCTCCACCACCGACCCGTTCCTCTTCACCGTCAACACGCTAAACTGCGACATCACATCCCTCAAGTACGCGGGCGAAGAACTCCAATGGACCGGCAAGGGCTCGCACATTGAAATGGGGCTCGGCTCCGCCACCGTCAAGTACGAGACGATTGGCACCCAGTATATCAAGATTACGTGCACCACGGCTACGTTGACGCAGTACATGGTTGTCAAAGCCGGGGAAGCGACTATCTACATGGCGACGGATATTACGGCGGAGCCCGATATTGGCGAGTTACGGTTTATAGCGAGGTTGAATAGTAATAAGTTGCCGCTGAGCTATCCGTTTGGGATTGTGTCGACGACGGCGAATTCAACGGCGACGGTCGAGGGGTCGGATGTTTTTGTTGTCGAGGGCCAGACAAGGAGTAAGTTTTACTCGAGTGAGCGGTTTATTGATGATGCTGTGGTAAGTTTATCAAGGAAAAAAGAAAGAAAGAAACTAAAAAAAAAAGCTCTTTCTGGGTAGTTGGACTGACAAAGATGTTTTAGCACTGTGTATATCGGGATACCGATGCAATTCACGCTTGTTTGTTGATGGATTCGTATTCGTATGAAACGTCTGCCGGTGGACCGTTTCACCGCGATATCAACACTAACAACGGCGGCCCTTCGACGTCTCTGACTTTTTACATGAACAGCAACCATGTTCAGTTGGAGAAGTACCGTATGGGAATGAAGGGCCCTTATGCCCTCTCCTTCAGCCGGTCTAGCATCCCCAAAGGCGGGTCAAGCATGGACACGACATTCTTCAAGGATCTCTCGATACCAAACTACGTGCCTCCCTCAGCCCGAGGTACAGTAACAGGCAAAGCAACAGGCGTAAGCTCAACTTCCCAAGCAGTCCTCCACTGGTACAACGACGCAGCACAATACTGGGCCTACGCCTCCTCCGCCTCCGGAGCCTTCACTTCCCCTGCCATGAAACCCGGAACCTACACTCAGGTCCTGTACCAAGGCGAATTCAAAGTAAAAGCCACGAGTGTAACCGTAGCAGCAGGCCGTGCAACAACCGCAAACATAGCCGCGGACACCGAGCCCAAGACTTCGCTGTGGCGCATCGGCGATTGGGACGGCCAACCCAAAGGCTTCCGCAACGCAGACAAGCAACTCCGCATGCACCCCTCTGATTCGCGCATGGCGTCCTGGGGACCCCTCACCTATACCGTGGGCTCCAGCACGCTCGACAGCGTGCCCATGGCCTTAGTCAAGGACCTCAACCCTTTCACCATCAAGTTCACCGCGAAACAAAAAAACATCACGCCAGTCACGCTGCGCGTCGGCACTACGCTCGCGTTTGCGGGCTGTCGTCCCGCCGTCACGGTGAATACTAGTTTCAGTGCCCCGTTGCCCGCTGCGCCGACCAAGATTGCCTCGCGGGGCTTCACGCGAGGGGCGTACCGTGGGTTTGGCGAGGTCTACAATTACGCTATCCCTGCGGGCACGCTCGTCTCGGGCCCGAATACGATTCGCATTAGTTGTATGAGCGGTGAGTCTGGAACGGGGTTCTTGGCTCCCAATGTTATTCTCGATGCGATAGAGTTGTTGGAGTAAAGTAAGGGGGGGGGGGGGGGAAACAGGGAAAGTAGTTGTTAGGTGTGTAATAAACATGGTTTGAGAAAACACACCGATGACTGCGACGGCCGAATGAATTCGTTTGTGACAAGAGTCCTTTCATTCCTGTTTGTATCTGTGCTTGCTCACACCGTATTTCAGAGGGCTATGAGCGATTTTTTTTCTTCAGTCAGCTCGCGATGCGTCTAGCGATAAAGCTGCAAGTCAGACGCAAGTCGGTAGTCAGCATGAGCCCGGACCGTGGGCTTGCAGTATGCGCAGAGTCTCCTTCCCACAGGAGAAGGTGCATAATCGGGGTTGGGTTGAGACGTTGAAAACATGTGCCCAAGATCATGTAACGTGTTTTACAAGCGAGCGGGCCATACAAGCGAGCGGGCCACCCCACCAACTTTGCGCACCTCTTTACGTGTACAGTTTTACCACAACTAAATAAAATTTATATATATTAAGATAGTGGATTAAACACTATCTAAAGCATCTTTCTTACATGTACGCGAATTATGGCCAGTCTCTCTACACCTGCTACACCGCGCTAGAGCCTGGCGGTTGACACCTGATCGCTCTCCTCCTTGACGCTCTTCATAAGCAATCTGCTGATCAGCCTCGCGCTGAGCGAGTAGATCTTCTCCAGCTCCCTTTGTTAGCACTCCTTGCTTCTGTATCCGCTTCTTCTTACACTGTCTACGTTTTGTTGCGGCTTCGTTCGCCTTCTCAAGGCTGGCTATCCGATCGCGCATAAGCTCAGCCGAGAGCATCATTACCTCAGCCCCCTTCTTAAGCTGATTAATTGCCATAATAATCGAAGTTGGCGATGAGCCTTGATGCCGCTGAACGCGATCACGTATTAACGTGGATTGAGCTTCAAGCTCGCGTGTGTTGCTAGGCGTACGAGCCTGCCAGAGAACCTCTAGAATAGCTGGTGGAGTAGGCGTACGGAGCTTTATATCAAGCCTTGATAGAACAGCATCTGGCTGGAGAGGAACAAGGCCTGCACCGCGGAAGGCAGAGCAGATATTGGCTAGCGTGAAGGATCGATCAAACGCTACCTTGAACGCTGGCAGAAACTCGAGCTTGGTAATGTGGTTGATATGATGGCGGATTAGGCTCTCCACCTCGCGGCTGTACGCGCGCTTTAACGGTGAGAAGCAGCCAACGTCAAGAGGCTGGAGTAGATGAGATGAGTGAGGCGGCATACAGAGCGTATATATGTTGTTCTCCTTGCAGAGCTCTTGGAACTTAAGTGACTGGTGGCTCTCATGGCCGTCAAGAATAAGCAGCCGACGTGCTCCAACAACCTTGCCATCTGTATGCTTAATAAAGTG